ATTGAGACATATGGGCTTTGGACGTGGATTTTGCAGCTGGATCATCGCAATGTACACCTACTCTACGTCATCAGTCGTGGTCAACGGTCACCTATCAGCCCCTTTCAGATTAACAAGATCCCTGAGGCAAGGCTGTCCGCTGGCACCGCTTCTCTTCGTCTTCCAGATGGAAGTACTGCTAAATCGAATCAGGAGACACCGTGACATAAGGGGCCTGCAGCTGCGCAACCACAAGGAATGTACAGTCACGGCACTCGCTGATGACTTATTTGCAGTCTGCGAAAACACAGTGGAAACACTGTCAGCTATCAAGGAGACAATGATGTAGTATTCGGTGTTGTCAGAAGCGTCTGTCAACTCGGGCAAGTCAACCTTTTTGCTGCCGAGGGGGTATGTACTGAGGGTAGAATGGGGTATGAAAAGCGTAGAGGAAGGCGAAGAGGAACAATTTCTGGGCGTGTTGCAGGAGACAACCCAGGGCCTGCTCTTACAGCAAAGAATTGCTGCAAGATTGAATCTGCGGGGTAGAACCTGGCCTCTATCCATTATGGGTAGAGCTTTGGTGGCAAACACGGTGCTGTTAACAATACTGTGGTTTGTAAGCCAGGTGAGGGAACTGGCATGTGGAGTACTGATAGCAGTGTGCAGACTAGTTGCTCGCTTCCTGTGGAAACCTTCAGCGAAACAAACGGAAGGGTTCCTGGTCAAGATAGCTTGGGAAAGTCTAGAGAGAAGGGGGGACTTGGCCTCTGGCCCGTAGAAATTGGACACAACTACACACTTGGTTATGCAAAGTAGCAACATCTGATGTAAACGAGCACTGGATCTTACTTGCGGAACGAATCCTCATGTCCAAATGGGAACTGTCACGCCCAGAGGATGTCTGGGCGTGTTTTTTTCATGGAGTCTTTCTGCAAAAGAAGACTGAAGTCAAGCTTTTGGAATGCGGTACGAAAGGCCTGGAGGAAACAACCCCCAGAAACCAGACAATAGCCTCAGACTAAGGAAGAGGTGCTGGCTCAAATATTGTTTGACAATCCTGCAGTTAACCAGGATGGCGGAACCTTTGCAGCAGATGGCTCGACAACAACGTTTGGGCTAGCATGGGTTCGAAAGGGGGTGTCGAGAATTCGAGATCTATGGTCTCAACTGCTGGGGGGTTGGGAGCCACTGGTGAACATTAAAAGGAAGCTGAGTGGACTGCAGAGGGTGGAAGAAAAACGGAAGGCGCTGATTCAGGCCATCCCTCCGGAATGGTTACAGTTGTTAGGCCCAGAAGGAGTGGACCTTCCTGGTACATGGTACATTGCCGCGCAGGAAGAGGAGCCAACAGTGGTATGGAAGTTGCAAGAGATTGAGCCAAGCGGGTTCAGAAGGGTGGAAAGGTGGAAGGCAACAGAACATACAAATACATTGGAGAAATTGGAGAGGAGAAAATCATGCGGTGGACCAACCCACCCCAAATTCGAGTGGTCATAGCAGTGGGGGAAAATAGGAGGACCAGGATTCTGACATGGGTGGGCAGAGTACCATTAAGGGGGTGTGAATATTGATCCGTTGGCCTGGTCCTGGAAGAGAACTGAGGAAGGTCTCCCGGATCTTAATCTGGTGCACTACTCGGTGAGATCCGGGTATGTGATAGCAGGAAGAGGCAAGAAGACCCCAACGAAAGTGGCAACAGGTAGATGGCAGGCGTCTTTCGGTGAAGAAATCCACAATGTGGAGGAGCAGTTCAACAGGCTGTGGGATACACTGAAGTTTCTGCCAAATGGCAAACAGGTCAGCATCCTTTGGCTTCTATCTTTGATGGTAACTCCATCAGCGGTCTGGCTAGTGAGCAGGGGAATGGAAGTAGATCTACGGTGCAGACGTTGCAATTGGCCTTTTGAATCCACCAGGCACCTGTGGTGGGAATGCCCGACGTCCAAACGGATCTGGAAGTGGTGGGAGTACCACTGGAAGAAAATGGGGGGGAAAGGAGTTGATTGGGAAGAGAGGTGGGTACTGCTGGGCTTCCTTCGCCCAGGGGTAAGAGCAAAAGGTGGATCGGGATACATAGCTCATGTGATCAGAGGAACCCTCTGCGAAGTGATATGGGCGGACAGCAACAGAGCAAGATTCCAGAGCAAGCAGATGTGGAGCTAAAAGCAAGGATCAAACAAGGTGTGAAACAGGCAATCTCGGTGGATTGGAGAAAGATTGTGCACGGGGGAGGAGGCGGCCGAAGACAGTTGAATTGGTTTCTGAACACTTGGGCACGAAGAAATCAACTGGCTGCTGTTCATGCCACTAAGGGGCTAGTCATTTCTCAGTGGATTCGAAAAACGACAGCGCAACGGTAGACATAGGGCGCCAGAGGGAAGAGTCGGAAGACAGTAGGAAGCAGCTAAGTGATAGGATAGTAGGGACCAAGGCACTCGGTCCCAATTAGGGACGCTGTGGGCCGCTAGGAGAGTGTCAGTAGTTTCCGGACGAGGTCCTCTGGGCCGTGTTAGTCCCAGACGTAGGCCAGAGTTCAGAGTTCAGTTATTGACATAGTTCCATTTCATGAATGCTGAGCAATTCCTCAGCAAGGGGGTAGGAGATAGGGATGGGACATCATATCATTCGGTTTTGCAAGAATGTCCTCTTCTGTTTTAAATAATACTTAGTTTCGCTCGAACCTTGGTAGATGAGTGAAACGGTTTCCACCTCTGCAGAGGCATATGCAGATCCCGGGGTTTTATCCCCAGACCTTACCTCACCCATGTATAGTATCGAGTTGACCCTTGAGTGCTTGAACCCATGACCTGTGTTTTATGAGTTGTTGTTTGTCTGTCGTACGACTGTGTGGACATAGGGATTCAATCTGTAGACGAGTGGAGTAGAGGTCTTAGACAGTTCCAGAAGTCGTTGCTGTAGATGTCCCGAAGGGTCAAAGTCGTAGCTGCTACAGTCCTGAAGAGTCAAGGTCGTAGCTGCTACAGTACTGAAAGGCCAAGTCCACGGTCTTCCGGAAGGTCTGGAAGTGGCCTTGCGAGTTTTCCTCTCACGTTTCCACAGAAGGCCAGAGGCAAGTGAGCAAGTGGTGCGTCCAACTTCGCTTAGTCAGCGGTACCCAGTCCCAGTCTCACTTTGCACAGTCAGCAAGTACCAAGGGGAACTGTGTGCACCATGGGCCCAGCGGAAAGAGGCAGACCAACGAGTTACAAAAGTATAAATCAAGAGGCAGCGCACAACCATTCATTCATTCCTGCGGAAGGCATGCGGAAGCGCTGCCACAGTGACTTGTGCGAGGTGGTCTGCAGAGGAGCCTGAAGTCGAAGTGGGCTAGAGGGAGTCAGCGCAGCCATAGCTGCTTGTAGAGTAGAGTTAGCTGGCGGCCATAGCTGCCATAGTTAGTAGTAGGTGTGCATTCGTGTGTGTGCAGAGTGTGTGCGTGGGGTATCCAGGGTGATCCGGAGTTGAAGTGTGAAGCGAACAGTGGTGTTGGACACAAAGACAAGAGTTGTGGTGTGTGGGTGCTGATGCACCATAGCCTGTTTGAAGCGAGCTTGCATCTGAACTGTGTCTTGGTTTCCATATCTTCGAGCTTTGAGTTGGGCACTATGCGCCAGTGTGATTCACCATCTGTTTGTATGCATGTGTGACGTGACGAAGTATGCAAGTCTGATTGCACTGGTATCGGAGCTGGTACCCGCTACTCCATGCGCATCGCCGTTATAGCAGGAGGGAGACGTGTGGGCGCCATAGCTGAAGTGTGCCACCCTTGAAGAAGAAGTCCGCCATAGCTGCGCTGTGGAAGAGAGTGACGCATAACTGCACAGAGGACAACGACGAAGAGAGAGAGAGAGAGAGAGAGAGAGAGAGAGGGGCTGAGTGATACAAGATTGGGTTACCACGTACCTGCTGCTCTGAAGATTGGTTGTGCGGTCCAAGAAGAAGTAGCGGCCATAGCCGGAGGGCTTGGAATACTGAGGAGAGAGGGAAGAGAAGCAGGAAGGAGGAAGGAGGGAAAACGAAGGTGAAGACAGACATAGCCAGGGGTGTACAAAAAAAAAAAAAAGAGAAACAGCGAGAAAGAAGAAGGGTGAAGGAGGAGAAGGAGAAGGGAGATTGGCGAGGAAGAAGGTGCCAACAACCATAGCCAACTTGAGGGTTGACCGGGCATTGACCAGAGGGTTGACCGGAGCGTTGACCAGGGTTTGACCACGTTGACCAAGCGTTGACCAAGGCGTTGACCGGAGCTGCTAACCACGATTTTGACCAAGCTAGAGTTGGTATAATCTCGCCGAGCCCTCAGCCTACCCCCTCGCCCTACGGATGTGCACTCACCCTACGGTGCTTGCTGAGTCTGAGTCTGTATGTCTCTTCTTTCTGCATTGACTCTCTTCTATTCAGGTGATAGGACTCCGTGTATGAAGGATAAGGCTTTGTTGACCAAACCCCTGCCGACAGAGTAGGGCTTAAGACTGTGTCTGACGACTCGACTGTAACGGAGGCCTAACCCTCCCAAGGACCGGTACTGACCAGCGGGCTGCTCGGTGTGGCACGGTAGGCCCGAAATCTGAGCTGTGGGCTGCACAACGGGCCGTCTACATGTTGAGAGAACCTGCTGATCGCGTCGTCCTGTCTGCGACGTTAAAGAATTTTTGAGGAGTTACGGGGGATCTCCTTAAATGCCTCCTGATCAGCAACGGGTTCTGTAGTGACGGCTGTAGTTTAGAGTTTAGGCTAGTGCCCCTAATTGACAGGGTCTGAACCGGAGTGAAAGCCAGGTGGGTTTGGTCGCAGGTGCTGGGCATCTGCGTCTGGATTGCAAGGACTGTGGTTGCGAAAGCTTCCGTCGGCCGTGGTAATCTGGCTGGAACAAAGGGTAAGATTTTGTAGTCCACAAAGAGTCAGTCAGTCTTAAGTTAAGTAGGGGGGGCGTCTAAGTGGTGAGGAGTGGAACCGCCATTGGGTTGTGCATCCTTCACCATGGTTGACATGCGTAGTGGCACGAGTACCACCCCCTATACGCCCGAAGAGGAGGCGAAACCATCCTGAAAGAGAGAAGAGAGAAGGAGGCCAAGAAGAAGAACCTGATGGAGGAACAAGCGGCAAAGATGAAGAAGATTGAGGAGGAGATGGCGAGAGAGAAAGAGAGGTTGAAGAAAGAAGAAGAGGAGAAGTTAAAAGCGGTAGAAGAGGAGGAGGAGATAGAAGAAGAGCCACTGGAAAGAAGAAGGGAGCAAAGAGGGGAATCCAGTGGAACAAGAGATGACCAACTGGAGAAGAAGATCACAGAGTGGGTTGCAAATTTATCCTTGGGAGAAGAAGAAGAAGCGTTCATGTATGTACCCAGGGAAGAGCAGGAGGCGGTCGTAAAGGAGTGGGAGGCAGAAGAAGACCCCCTCAGGCGTCAGGCCATGGAGGATGAGACGAGGATGGAGTGGAAGCTACGACTCATGAGGGAGAGAAAAAGGAGAATGGAAGCGGTGAGCCAGGCGGCAAAGGAGTTGGAGGAAGTAAAAAAGCAGAAAGACCAGATGGCGGTACAGGTGGACCTCCTGGGTAAGATGGAAATCATGGCGAAGAATATCGAACGCCTGACAGCGGCTCAAGAAGAGCAATTCCAGTTTATTAGAAGTCAAGACATTGCCATGCGTTCGATACAATTGGGATTCAGGGAATCTGTGTGGGAGTTAGTGGTGCAGGTGGGATCAGAAGTGAAAGCCCGCCTAGACAGCACAGAGCGCTATTGCACGAGTGCCATAGAGGGCGAAAAACTGGCCGCTCCCAAGGAGGAGGAAGTACGTCCTCGTAGGGAGTCTGTCAAAGTCAAGTTTCCTGATTCCTACAATGGGAAGGAGGAGAACTTTGACAACTGGGAGGCTAATATTGAGACGTATGTGCACTTGCAAAAGGTCTCCCCAGATGAACATGTGCTAGCCGCTATTCACGCGCTAAAGGAAGAGGCCGCCAGTTTTGCCCAATCCCTAGTCCGGGCTGCAAACTGCAACGAGGATGTAGTTGCTTACTCCGCGTTCACACCCCTCGCTGATTTCCTTAAGTTGTTGCGCGAACGATTTGCCGATGTCTCGCGCAGTGTCAAAGCTTCCGATAGGTTGCGGACTATCCACTCTCGTCAGTGGAGGAGTGCCAAGGCACTCTCGGAAAATCCTCTGAAGAGCCGAAAGGCATAACCTTTGCAGATCCATCATCCATTGATTGATGATGCATCTTTCAGCCTTCGACTGATTGCTTGCATCGGGTTTCAGGTTTTCTATTTCACTCCCTTTCTTAGGGTTCTTTTCACCTTTCCCTCACGGTACTTGTACACGAGTTAGTGGATGTTCCTGACCATGGGGTCAAAGAGACCCAACTGGTCAACCTCTTCTACCGGGCTATGCCCGAATCGTTACGCAAGCACTTCTTTGAGAAGAGCCAGCAACCTACCATGACCTATGACGCATTGAGCAGGGAAGTGGTAGCTTTTGAAGCACGGTCCATGTCAGTTTCCACTTTCTGGCACAAGGACCTTGACAAAGGGAAGAAGTGGAAGGGTCACACTATCTCTGGGCAGATCAAGACCAAGGACCGTCTGGTCCTTACGTTAGATGAAGGTAGTGTGGAGGAAGTTCCCTACGACCAGATAGAGTGGGGGCTAGAGGAGGAGGAGGACAGTAGAGCTAGTCAAGGGAGGACCTACGTTGTTGTCGCAGCTGGAGGGAGGCCGCAAGGAAAAGGAGGAGGCCAGGGCCAAGGGGGCCGGACCTCAGGTGGCCGTTTCCAGGGCGATCAAGGGGTTCGCGGTAGATGAGGAAACCGCCAAGCGGGAGGAAGGGGTCAAGGTCCCCCGCAAAACCGTTCTGGTAACCGTTCACCTAATAGGGGTAATAGGTCACCCTATAGAAGAGGTGGTTGGCACCCAGGTCTGCCGCAGGGCCGACCTTGGGAGGATTTGGGCCTGGACCAGCGCGTCTGGCAGCAGCGTGTGGATCAGGGGCAGTGCGTATTTTGCGGTGACCCTGGCCACATCATTCGATATTGTCCGCAGAATAGAGAGGCCCGATGGGCTGCCCAATAGGCAAAAGGCAGCCGCCGATAGGGGTTGCAACTGCCCCTACCATAAGGCCATGTGGGGAAACGAGCGCGAGCCGGCAAGAAACTCCCACACCACATGAGCCTATGGCAGAGGTTGCAGGTCGGTGCCTAGATAGCTGTCCAGAGACTGCTTGTGTTAGAGTCTCTTTAGGCACCTCCCTCACAGGCGTGGCTGACAAGTTGAAGGAGAGAATGCCCGCCTGGGCCAAGAAGAAAAAGGAGAGTAAAGGACAACTAGTTTTAGTAGATGTAGAAGTTTTTAGAAGTAGAGTGTGAGCCCATATAGATTCAGGGGCTACCCGCACTTATATTAGTCGTAGAGCGCTGTAGAAGTTGAGGCTAGGCTTGAAAGTCCAAAAGTTGGAAGACCGCATACTGAGTGTCCTCGCAGACAACCGCACTATGCGTGCTGAGGATTACGTAGAGGGAGTCCAGACGTATTTCCGCCTAGAGAAAGAGGGGAAGGTGGAGAAAGTTCTCCATTCCCTGACTCTCCTCGTACAAGACGACCTTCCTTTTGATATAGTCCTAGGTATGGACTGGGGAGAGGCAGCAGGGGCCACACTCCATCTGAGAGAACATGAGTGTAGGCTCCCTAGTCCGTCAGGCGAGGTTAAGACTGCCCGTCTGTTTCATGCGTGAGGTGTAGATAACACCCTGACACATTGTTGTCTCAGTGCTCCTACGTTTGCCCGATTGGTGAAAAAGGAGAAATTAGAGGAGCAGGTCTTCGTAGTTTACGTCAGGCCTATCACTGAGCCTAAGGAGGAGAAGCCCATTGACCCAACTATTGCCAAGCTGCTGGAAGAGTTCAAAGATTTAGCTGAGCCGCCGACAAGAGTTGTATCGTGGCCCATCCAGCATCTCATTGAGATTGAGCCTGGCAGTAGGAGTCCCAAAGGAGCGGTGTATAAAATGTCCCCGCGGGAGTTGGAGGAACTACGCAAACAGTTAGACGAGCTCCTAGAGAAGGGTTGGATTAGGCCCAGTTCGTCTCCATTTGGAGCACCTGTTCTATTTGTCCCAAAGAAGGAAGGGGAGCTCAGAATGTGTATAGACTATAGGGGTCTCAATGCTATCACCGTAAAGAATGCATAGCCGCTGCCCTGTATAGATGATCTTTTAGACCGGGTGCAGGGGTGCAAGTATTTTTCGAAGATAGATTTGAAGTCCGGATATCATCAGATAGAGGTCCATCTTGATGATCAGTATAAGACCGCCTTCCAGACTAGGTACGGGCACTATGAGTTTATAGTCATGCCCTTTGGACTAACCAACGCGCCATTGACTTTTCAACGTTGTATGAACGACCTGTTTAGGCCGTGGTTAGATAGATTTGTAGTAGTGTACCTAGATGATATTCTAGTTTTTAGCAAGACCCTCCAAGAGCACCAGGGTCATCTGAGGCAGGTCTTGGAGAAGCTGAGAGAGGCTAACATCAAGATCAACCCCAAGAAGTGCGAGTGGGCAAAGACCCAGGTTTTATACTTAGGCCACGTCTTAGACAGAGACGGCATTAAGCCAGAGGATAGCAAAATTGCAGCGATTAGGGATTGGCCTACACCCCGCACGCTGACAGAGTTGCGATCGTTCTTAGGCCTAGCGAACTACTACAGGAAGTTTGTGAGAACTTCTCTACCATCGTTACACCCCTTCGCAGATTGCTACAGAAAGAAACAATCTGGAAGTGGGACAAGGACTGCACGTCTGCCATGAAGAAGTTGAAGCAGGCGTTGATAGAGTATCCAGTCCTTAAAGTCGCCGATCCGTCCTTACCTTTCGTTGTTACGAACCAGTATGGTATAGGTGCCGTACTACAGCAAGACGATGGCAACGGCAATAGACGCGTAGAGTTCATGTCTGCTAGGATGCCTTCAGAGAAGGTAGCGACATCCACCTACGAGAGGGAACTCTACGCTCTCAGGCAAGCACTAGAACACTGGAAGCACTACTTGCTTGGGAGGAACTTCAAAGTCTATTCAGACCACGAGACGTTAAGGTGGCTGAAAACGCAGGCCAAGATGACACCTGAGTTGACTAGGTGGGCCGCCGAGATAGACCAATACGACTTTGAGCTCAAGCCAGTTAAGGGCAAGTGCAATGTAGTTGCGGATGCTCTAAGCAGGAGGTCAGACTACTTTGGGGTGATAGTCCATTATCTGGATATAGGGAAGGACCTGCAACAGAAAGTCAGAGAGGCATATGCTCAGGATCCTATCTATAGCGACCTCCTTAAGAGAGTAAAGGAGGCCCCAAAAATTGAACCACATTACCGCACTACAGAGGGTTTGTTGTGTTGAGAAGACTGATGTAATAGACCGTTTGTGCGTCCCCAACAGTGAAGAAATTTGTAGCCTGATCTTAGGGGAATGTCACGATACAGAGGGACACTTCGGTTGGCAGAAGACTCTAGCCAATCTGATGCGCTCGTGGCCAGAGATGAAGAATGACTGCATAGAATATGTCCGCAGTTGTAAAGTGTGCCAGAGGAACAAGACAACCACGCGTGCCCCTCTAGATCTTCTCAGACCCCTGCCTATTCCTGACCAGCCCGGAGATTCAGTGTCAATTGATTTCATGGACGCTGGCATCAAGAGTAGGCATAGTAAGAGCCAAGTCATGGTCATAGTAGATAGATTTAGCAAGTATGTCGTTTTTGTCCCGTTGCCTGCGGAGGCACGTACAGAGTTAGTAGTTCAAAAGTTCTTTGACCATTGGGTCAGTGAATACGGGATTCCGCTGTCTATAGTTAACGATAGAGACACCCGGCTCACTAGTCAGAACTGGTAGGAGTTGATGAGAGTATATGGCTCCAAGCTGCTGATGCCATCTGGCCGTCATCCAGAGACTAAGGGTCAGACTGAGCAAATGAATAAGCTCCTACAGCAAGTTCTGAGAATGTACATTAGACCTGATCAGACTAATTGGGATGAGATGCTCCCAAAGGTAGCCAGTGCCTACAATAACAGCATGCACCTGTCCACGTGTCGCACTCCCAACGAGTTACACAAGTCCCTTAGACCACGCCGACCGTTTGAAGGACTTAACCGGGATCAGATTCATAGGGTACCACCCGACACTAGGGAGTTCGCGTTATAGCATAAGGAGTTAGCTACCGTTGTAGAGAACCTCGGGAAGGCCCAACATAGGATGATAGAGCAAGCCAATAAGCATCGTCGCCCGTCACAGTTTCAAGTAGGCGACTTAGTCTGGGTCAAGTCTAAGGAGTTTGCCCCTGAGGAGAATGTCTCGCAAAAGTTATTGCCTGCGTATAGAGGACCGTGGCCAGTTCTAGAAGTTAAGGGCGGAGAGGATGGGCCGTACTACACAATAGAGATTTCACCGCATCTCCACACCTACCCTGTATTTCACGCATCAAAGCCGTTGTCGTGTGTCACAAGTCAACAGTTTCCCTCTAGAAGGTCCATGATCCCTCCGGATATGGATGGAAGATATGACATTGACGGCATTGTAGCTGAGGATATATTCAGAACAGGAGGTAGAGGTCATCCTCAGACACAGTACAAGGTTCGAGTCGCCTATCAAGAACCCGAAGACGACCGCTGGTTTACAAGAATTGAACTTCTAGAAACAGCTCCAAACGTAGTCAGGGCCTACAAAAGAGATAGAAAGGGTAAAGGTCCTGCCTTGGACTGAGAGATTCTCGGAGGACCTCGAATTTAGGCCGGCGGGAGTGAAACGGTTTCCACCTTTGCAAAGGCATATGCAGATCCCGGGGTTTGATCCCCAGACCTTACCTCACCCATGTATAGTATCGAGTTGACCCTTGAGTGCTTGAACCCGTGACCTGATTTTTATGAGTTGTTGTTTGTCTATCGTAGGACTGTGTGGACATAGGGATTCCATCTGTAGACCTGTGGAGTAGAGGTCTTAGACAATTCCAGCAGTCGTAGCTGTAGCTGTCCCGAAGGGTCAAAGTCGTAGCTGCTACAGTTCTGAAGAGTCAAGGTCGTAGCTGCTACAGTACTGAAAGGCCAAGTCCACGGTCTTCTGGAAGGTCCGGAAGTGGCCTTTCGAGTTTTCCCCTCACGTCTTCCACAGAAGGCCAGAGGCAAGTGGGCAAGTGGTGCGTCCAACTTCGCTTAGTCAGCGGTACCCAGTCCCAGTCTCTCTTTGCACAATCAGCAAGTACCAAGGGGGACTGTGTGCACCATGGGCCCGTGCTCTTGC